CAGTGCTGCATAACGGAGTGAGCTCCTGTTACTTGTCCCAGCTTCTGCCAACCTAGGAGTTCGAAAACATGTAAAAAATGCAAGTAGTAAAGAAATTTGAATCCCACCACTGGGTAAAGGTTCCACATATGTGCTAGTCATTCCCAACTCTAGGGGGCGGTTCTCATCTCCATTTCAAAGCCAAAGAGCCAGCGCTGTCCAAAGACATCTCCGGGGTCATGTGGCCAGCATGAGTACTCGCCGAAGGTGCACGGAATGCTGTTACCTTTCCACCAAAGGTGGTTTCTATTTTTTCTACTTGCATTTTTTACATGTTTTCAAACTCCTAGGTTGGCAGAAGCTGGGACAGGTAACAGGAGCTCACTCCATTATGCGGCGCTAGGGATTCATACCACTGAACTGCTGACCTTTCTGATCGACAAGCTCAGTGTCTTAGACACTGAGCCACTGTACCCCCTTGGTTTGCATATAGGCAAATGAAGACTCAATCATCCAGGCCAAAAGTATCTTTAAAAGGTTATATCAGGGCTACTGGAATCAAAATCTGTTAATCTCAGATGTTTAGTACTCATCCAAGTAACTTCATCAGTCAAAATAAAGTAGTCTAAGATAAAATAATAAATAATCTCTGCCTATTTTTTTTTTAAAAAAATATTTTGACTGATGAAGTTTCTGGGATGAGTAACGAAGGAAGCTGTTGGCCGGCACGAGTTAGTCAAGGAAAATCTCGCTGTGGTTTGAAAGCAGTCATTGGGTTGGCACCGAAAGCTGCGTTCCAGCCAATCTAGAATGAAGTGGCAAAGCATTTAACGTCTCAGATGAACAAGCTTTGGTCTGGTTGCTAGGATTTAACCTTTTAAAACACTTTTGGTGTGGATGATTGAGTCTTCAATTACTTATTGGCAGGGGGAAATCCCTACAGTTGGTGTGGCAAGAGTTCATACGTTCCAACAACTCTCTGACTCTCTGCCTAACAATTTATTTTATTTTGATGGATGAGTAGCGGAATGTCTCAGATTAACAAATTTGGATCTAGTTGCCCTGATTTAACCTTTTTAGATATTTCCTTTGTTTGCTTTGCCAAATCTTTGCACCTATATCTTTGCCTCCCTTTCCCCCCCCCCCCGTTCTCTCCTTTAACACTAATTCACATGTTTCTTTTTCTCCTTTGCTCTGAGGTCACAATAATCAAAGCAAAACCAGGCTGCTCTTTTCATCCCCATGTCGGTTCATAAAAACCTCATAGTAAGAGTGAGCTAATCATTCAGCTGCCTACAGGTAGTCCTCGACCTACAACCATAACTGAGTCCAGAATTTCTGTTGCTAAGCAAGACAGTTGTGAAGTGAGGTTTGCCCTGTTTTGCGACTGTGTTTTTTTCCCCATGGTGGTTAAGTGAGTCGTGTGATTGCTAAGCAAATCTGGCTTCCCCTATTGACTTTGCCTGTCAGAAACCAGCTGGGAAGGTTACAAGTGGGGATCACATGACCTCAGGACAATGTAACTGTCATACAGCTAGTCCTCGATTTACGACCACAATTGAGCCCAGCATTTCATTGCTAAGCGAGACAGTTGTTATGTGAAATTTTTCCCACTTTATGAACATTTCTTGCCAAACTTGTTAACCAATTCACTGCAGTTGTTGTTATTATCCCAGTTGTAAAGTGAATATGGCTTCTCCATTGACTTTGTTTGCAAGAAGGTTGCAAAAGGGGATCACATAACACCTGGATCCTGCAATCGTCATAAATGTGAGTCAGTTGCCAAGCGTCTGAATTTTGATCACACAACCATGAGTTGCTGTAATGGTCGTAAATGTGAAAAATGGTCATGACTCATAAGTCACTTTTTTCAGTTGTAACTTTGAATGGTCACTAAATAAACTATTGTAAGTCGAGGATTAACACTGTATTTACACTGTCAGAGATTCACTTAGAACACATAATTTGTCAATGTTGCTTTCTCCATTCCACTGCCTACTTTTTAGAATGATAATTTCCTATTGAAGTCTGCAATCCCAACCTGGCTATTCTTCAAAAGAAAAAGAAAAAAAGGAAAGCATTGAAGCCCGTAAAAATATATATCCACTTTGAACAATAGGCCATGCTATGTTAATGGTTTGTGGTTTCTCTCATGGGGAGAGAAATACGGGGCTACTGTGTCTTCTATTTGTGGTTTTAAAATCTCATGTTAACCCTTGCATGCTGCCCAAAGGCACCTGGAAGGAAGCCGGAAGCACCGCAACGAGACTGTTTGGAAAATAGCAGAGCTGTGACGGGCTCTGCGAAAACCCAACTGGACACATGGCTGCCAGGGACCTTTGGGTCAGAATTGTTCTGGAGGAACAGGGAAAAAAAGGAGAAACATCTGGACAACCAAAGATGAACCAGCAGTTCTTCAAAAGGTTGGAGATAAAGTTCTCCAAACTGACAGCGGAAGCGGCAACGACCATGCAAATGGACACTTCCAAGTCAGAGCAACTGGATCAAGCTATT